ACGTAGATTGACCAGTAAATCGAGAGCTTCGCCTTACAGCTCAGCTCCTTCTTCACCACGATGGACCGGTACATCGACCGCATTACTGCAGAAGCTGCACCGATCCGTCTGTCAATCTCCCGTTCCATCCTTCCCTCACTCGTGAACAAGACCCCAAGATACTTGAACTCCTCCACTTGAGGCAGGAACTCTCCACCAACCTGAAGGGAACAAGCCACCCTTTTCCGACTGAGAACCATGGCCTCGGATTTGGAGGTGCTGATTCTCATCCCAGCCGCTTCACACTCGGCTGCAAACCGCCCCAGTGCACACTGGAGGTCCTGGTTTGATGGAGCCAACAGGACAACGTCGTCTGCAAAAAGCAGAGATGAGATCCTGTGGTCCCCAAACTGGACTCCCTCCGGCCCCTGGCTGCGCCTAGAAATTCTGTCCATAAAAATAATGAACAGAACTGTTCATGTATCTTATCCATTACTGTAATTTGAATCCATAGTCTGTTGTATATTGTACGTTACCATACATTTCTTACTGTAAATATCAACTGTACATATCCCTCAGTAAATCACTTCTGACTGTTCATACTGTAGATACTGCACACTATTCACTGCTGTTGTTGCACTTCTGGTTAGATGGTAAACTGCATTTTGTTGCCTTGTACTTGTACATGGGTAATGACAATAAAGTTGAATGTTATCTAAGTTAAAAATGAGCTATTTGTGTACAGGGGTTATATCTATAAGTTACTGCACTGAAGTGCTTGCTGTATCTTATTATACATATAAACATGCATTAATTGTTCATGAGTGTGATGCCTGAGGGAAGAAACTGTCCTTGTGTCTAGTTGTTTTGGCGACCTGTAAGGTCATCCAGAGGGGAGGAGTTCAAACAGTTTGTGTCCAGGGTGTGAGGGGTCTGCAGAAATCTTCTCTGCCCTCCTTTTGACTCGTGAGGTGTACAGGTCCTCCACAGAGGGCAGGCTGGCACCAATGATTCTTTCTGCAGTCCTGACTGTCTACTGGAGTTTGTTCCTGTCCTGTTTAATTGCTGAGCCAAACCAGACAAAGATGGAAGTACAGAGAACAGACTTGATGATTCCCCTATAGAACTGAATCAGCAGCTCCTCAGGCAGGTTGAAATAAACTGGTGGCAGCTGGGACAAAAGAATTTTTAAACCTGTTTGCCCCGCATCTTGGCTGCCTGTACCTACGACCAGATGGAAGCAACTTAAACTCTTCCAACAAAGAATGACTAGGATCAGCAAGGTTGGACTTGACCTTCTTCAGAGACCTGACTTTATAGAAGTTTGATACATCATCTAAAGTTGTACCAACAATCTTGCTGCACTCTTTAATAATGCCCTGCAGCTGATTCTTGTTTTTAAGGGTGAACAGCCCAAACCAGCACACAAATAAAAACTCTCAAACTGCTTCAATAAAACAAGAATAAACATCTTCATAAAAACACTGTTACCTTAAAACTACATAGCTTGTGAAGAAAGTGCATGCACTGATGGGCTTTATTACAAACGGTATCCACATTTGACTCAAAGGAAACTTTGTTGTCAATAACAGTGCCCAAATACTGTACCACTTCTACAGCTTGATCACTAATTACCACAGGGGGTGTGGTTGATTGATTCTTCTTTATTCTTTGGACACATTAATGTCCTGAAAGGTGACCTACACCAGACAATAAAATCCGACACTACTGGGCCATTATCTTGGTCGTAACCATTCAGCAGAGGCACTACGTATAACAGAGTCATCTGTAAATCTGATGCCTGTCATACTGATTCTGGCACATATTAGTGTACAAGACAAATAAGAGAGGTGAAACAATGCACCCTTGTGGTGAGACAGTGGAAGACACAACATCTGATAAAATGTCATTGACCTTTACGCATTTCGACCAGTGACGTGCGGTCAGGGGAGG